TTAACAATAATATAACATATTTAAAGCAGCTTTAAGCCACTTTGCCTCCACAAACAGCTGTTGCTACATAATATTACAAAACGACTCTCCTCTCCACCCGTTCTAACCACCTAAAGGATAAACTTCTGCAAAGTGCAACACAAAAAGAAAGTGGAGAATTCCTTATATTATAGATAAATATTCATTTAAACAGTAGTGGAACCAATATCTCTAGGCTTTAACAAAAAGGCTGTGGAGCTGTTCTCTCTCTAGCTAGTATTTAAACCATAGCAGGGTGGAATTGCTGCGGTAACTGTGTTCCCTCCCACAAAAAAAAATCTTTTAACTTGGTGGGTAAGGTAGTCTGCTTGGAAAAGTGGGCTCCTGTCAAAAGAAGGAGGGATTTTTAACTTGGATTTAACCATAATCTAAGTGACTTTTTCAACCTGTAGGCTGTTGTTTTCTCCTTCTGTGCTTTGAAAGGGCTAGGCACGCTCTGAGCTGAGCCTGGCAGGTGGGTTAGGGAGAGGATTTCTGACTTGGTGAGCACCAAGGGAGAAACAGCGCTGTTAAAAAGGAGCCCAGCTGTTTGGCACTGCCGGCAGTTAGGCTTTGCAAGGCTGCACAGGACTTTGATGATCTACCTTTAAAACCTGCATCTTACTTTGATTTAGGATGCCCGTGGAGAAAGGGAGTTTCCATCTTACAGTAGGTCAGTAGCTTATTTTATTTTGGGGTGTCTTTCTAGGAGCACAAGTACCAGAATCGTTGGAGAAAAGTTACAGAGACCTCATGGGTGTCTAATGATGGAATGATCTGCCTATAGGAAAAAACTGTACTGCTTATTGCTCTGTCTCCTCTCTGTTGTACCTGTAAATGCTCCTGGGATTCACATAACCGTTTCTAGCCTAGTTCTGAGTCACACATACCTCTGGGTAAGGGTGTACCCAGAGGCAATATGTTTTCTTGGTTAATGAGCTATTTTCACTCGAGGGTGAAAAGCACTTCTGTATATACAGGTAGAACAAATGCCAGTGATCCCCTCAGTTTATGAAGGGCTTGAGTGGGAATTAAAGGAGGCATGGTCCTCGAGTTAGTCACCTTCAAGAGAAAGGTGTCCTGCCAAGCATGAGAGCCACTTTCTTTTTTACATAAATAGTTTTATGTTTGTCAGATTGGGTCACCCCTCTCCTTTTGATTTACCTATTAAAGCTGATGCGCACATCTAGGTGATCCTAGATCAAACTTTAGCAAGAAAAATATGTTGAGAGTACAAATGCAGAACCCACCCCCCCAAAAAAGGTCACCTTAACAATTTACCTGCTAACCCACAGTATCTGGCAGCTAGCCAGCATCCACTCCAGACACCTCTCTCTATATATTAGAGTATTTAGTTTTGACATTCTTTTGAAGCTAAGTTACATTTAACACTATTCACTTTGGAAAAAGCAGGTCTAATGGGTAGGTATGGCTGTGCTAGTTAACTGAACGGAGCAGGGCCTGGGCTTGAGCAATACCCTATGTTTGTCCATGCTATTATTTGTTAGCATAATCCTTGACACAGTTTTGCCCTTGCCAGTTGGTACTTTCTGAAACAAAACTCAGGCAGAGATCTCTCTAAAACATTCCTGTTTCCAAAAGGAATGTGGATGAGGCCACATAGGGTTTTTTTGGAAAGCATGTTTAGTCATACAGATGCAAACCATGCTGTGCCACTTGCCCCCAGGCCAGAGACTGGGCTTCGGTATGTTTATCTTGCTAGGATAGGTGTAGCTATTTTATCTGCATCCTGAAATTCAAAATTAGGGCAATATTTGCTAGAATGTCTTTAAGTCTTTTGAATACAACAATAAAAATAAGAATAATAGCATCTGATATCCCTGAAACCAATAGCTTACCAATCCTATCTGAAGGTTCAAAGTATTAAAGGATTTTTCTTTTGGAGGACTGGATGTGTGAAAGAATGTATTCAGTAATGCATTCCTCCCTTTTTGGGAGGAGTCAAGTAATGGCATTTGTCTAAAAAGTTGCCTGCTGAGTCACTGCTCATTCTACTTCTCCCTTGTGGATCTGTATGAAAGCTCAACAGGACCACGCTACACTATGCTCTTTTCATATGATGACCATCCTATAAACCTTAATAAGAATGTGGAGATAGAACAACACTTTGGAATATGCTTTGTACTTAAAAATGGGAACTCAACAAAATGACAAGAAAATCATGGATCTTACTAGCAAGAAAAAGATCTTACTATCAAAGAAAATACTTTGTAGAAAAGTATAAGCTACAGCTAAATGCACAGAACACAACTATCTTGTTCGGAGAAAGATAAGAATCAGGAAGCATAATAACGTATTACCACTGTAGGGTGCTACATGCATTTGACTTTAATAGCACTGAATAAGCTATTCAAATCTAAATCATGGTATTTCTGAACCAGTTATGCTCACTTTTCTGCCACCTCTACTCTATTTTAAAAGTCAACATGCCCTACGGGCTGTTTCTTAGGAAGCATTTTAAGAATTCTTTGGATGACAAGTAAGCCTAAACCTCTATTATTGACAACATATTTAAAATTAACTTGCTAAAAATGACCTCCAGAATTTGCTGGCCATCTGAGCAGCAAGATATTATGACCTCTGGTAGTAATCAGTAATGTGTCCCTATTGCTTGTTAGTAATACATTAAAACCTGGAGTCAATAAATAGATGTTTGTAGGGAGGAATTCTAAGGTACTTCTTGTTATCCCTCATAAACCTGTGTCAGGTCATCGATGTAAATTATGCTAAATTTTGATGTAGTTACAGCCCTTTTTATTAGCTGAGGATATGGCCATTTATGCATATATCTATTTCTTGGAAAATCTTCTCTTTCGTCTTGAGAGAATGGGAAGCAAAAGCAGAGTATTTGCCTAATTCCCAACAGGCAGATTACACAGTCACTGCAATCCAGAATGCTATCTGTCTATGCTATAAGTGGGTAATTTTCTTGCACACGAAAAAGGGAAAAGGGAGAGATGATTCAGGTTCTGACATAGTCTTAGATTATGTATAATTTTAAATTATAATATCTAAATTTCTGTCTCTCCTTCAAGTAAGGACCATAATCTAGAGAGTGAAAGCAGAACTATTCTGCAAATCTTGCTGCAGAACAGTTTACACAGTCTGAGGACGGCTGGATTTCTGATAACTGTGTTATTAGTTACACTGAGATCCAGAGGGAAAGCTTGAGTTCCTCTGATTTCTGAAACCTGAATTTCTTTGAATTATGTGAAGTTTGTTCCTGGAGAACAGTCATAGGTCACTTTCACTGTATGCTTATTCTGAAAAAAATCAATTCTTGATATGTAGTATTGCATCATATACTCCTTATTGGCAAGGTACAATACTTGTATATGACTACCATAGAGAAAAATAGATAGAATGATTATCAATTATATTTGCTTTAATCTATAGAATAATGTTTCCTTTTGGATTTTTTCCATCTTTAAAATTGTAAGTAACGAGCAGAGCTAACATCAAAAATTCACCATCTCTTGAATCTACTGAATGCTACAGATCAGTCAATAAAGCTGGCCTGCTTTATTCTTAAGCTGATCTCAGAACCACTCTTGGATTTTCTTGTATTTATACATTTTCCTGTATAGATTCCATACTGTCATGTTGTCCAGTACAAATTTAGCAAAAACTGCCTTAACAGAGGCATACTTTAGGTAGCAGAGCTGGCTTACTGTGCACCACTTTCTTCTCTGAGTTCAAAGGTAGTAAATACTGCAAAGTATCAGTTTAATTTCTCTAGACTCTATTGGGGTGTTTCTCTTGTTGTGTTTCTCCAGCAATCTGGCTAAAGAAGGCGGTGCTGTGAGACAAGTTAAGCTTACCTCTGTCTGCTTTATGAGCAGAAGTCTTTTAGTTGAATGTAAAATGATGATGAGTTAATATCATCCAGCACCTGGATTACGAAATAAAAACCCTTCAAAATAAACAGATACTCCTACTCTCAAGTATAATTATTATCAGTCAAATTATATTTCCATTTCAACTCAAGGGCTAGGTATAATTTTTTAAACCTCATTCCCATCCTCCACTGCTTATGAAGAAAGACCTGTTTCATTTTTGAGGCATGTGGGTTAAAACTGTAAAAATGCAGTATATACGTAGACAGATGCATTCACAAAATTCTCTTCTCGATCATAAAAAGATGAACATATAACACAGTGTACCTGAACGTGCCCCAACTGCTGTAAATATTTTTCACTTTCAGAAACCAGGAAGTTGAGATGTACAAAGTTCAGGAAGGTAGGCTCACTTGCATTAATTAATTCTGAGACTTGTGGTAGCCGGCTGTTCATACTCTGTATTTTCTGGACTGCTACTGTGCTTCATCAATTGCATTTCATCAGATGTAAGCAGTGTTTAGATAATAACTGCACGCTATTAAGTACCAAGCCTATGAAGGAGTAACCATCAGCAAAAATAAGGAACATGACTGAAGAAACATTTGCTAAGTTAGTTCCTCTTCAGCGTTTGGTCTTTTGTATAGAAAGAAAGTCTTAACTTCCATGGAAATCAATAGCACTGAAGGATACTCAGCATCCTGTGTAACCTCATCTCACATACATCATTACTGAAGTTCCCCAAATATAGACTAATGTGGATTTATATAAGACATATTATAAGCAGACCCTGTATCTTAAGCAGAAGCATAGGGTGTTATAGAGCATTCCTACAAGCAATTGATTGTTCCCATCTCCCCCATTTATTAATAGTAAGGCAGTTCTTAGCTACACAGAAATGAATTGCAGTCTTTGTAAGGAAAAAAAAAAGCGAAGGCAGTCTCTTCTTTCTGTTTATTATGGTCTGTACTGAAGGAGAATGCAAATGTGTACAGATAAGAGGGACTTGCAACAAGATCTCATGTGGGAGGGTTTTCCCCCCTAGATGTTTTGCCTCTGCCCACATACTCAGAGCAAGTACTTAATTTGTGTTGGATTCCAGAGTGCATTCCCCACGTAACACTCCTGCAGACTTTGTCTTTGATGAAAGACAGTATTTCCTCATATTCCTCTCTGTAAGTACTTGTATTCTGTTCTTTAAACCCTCTAGCTGAAAGGCAGCCATATAGCTCTGTAATGTGTATTTATGTGGAAAATCCAAATGACCATAGCATATTCTTCCAAATAGTTGCTTGGTTTCAAGGTGTAGGAAAGCATTTTATTTGGTGAAACCCAGCCCTGTTGTACTTGAAAAGTACACCAAGCACAGGAGTATAACAACTCACTGGTATTTTTAATTGATCTGGTATTTCTACCAGGTGCCACCCTTTTCCACACCTCCTACCTCCTCCTTAAGTGACTCAGCCTCTGAAGGAGAAGCCTCTTGATTTTGCAGACAGCTGGATGGAGGAGTACAGTGCTCTGTCTGCTTTGACTGTACCTCACTTCTAGGTATCCCCAGGTGGGCATACCATACTGGGCCACTCTAGGACACTATCTTCTACCATATACAGGTAAGCGGATTTACTTGTCTGCATTTTATCTAAAGTCCTACATTTTCAAACATTCAGTGATATCTGAATGTCCAATTTAGGACGCTTCAAGGGATGTGATTTTCAATAGGTGTAGAGAACTTGCCTATGAAAATCCATCTCTTAAAGAGTCTCAGTTTAGGTCTTCAAACCATTTCTGAAATGCTAAACTATCTTCATCAATTGATTATTTACATTATCTTGCCAGCGTCATAGTATTTTATTTTATTGATATTTCTCCGATGACGAACTCACTGTTCACACAGCTTTTCATGAATGGCTGTATTACTGTTCCTTTTGCTCTAAGGTTTGTTTTACTATTTCTTTATACTTCTGTTGGTATATTATCTAAAATGAAATGAAGAGAATAAAAATATAATTTACTTGAATTTGCCTTAAGTGTACTATTTTGAAAAAAAAATCTAGCAATAGCATGCCTTTTAAGAACAAACTACTTGTGAAGTATTCATAAATCATTACCACCTTTGCAAAAGACATATAACAAAAGTACTTATTTTACTTGGGTATAATCAGTTTTGTGCACCATGAACGGAACTTATTTATAAACAGGAAGGGTTCTTAATTAAAAGTACTTAGAAGTGAAAGGAAAGCAATGAATAAAAAAGTCTAAAATTAACACCTTTCATATACTCTATACAAAAAAGTCATTTAAAATTGATCATATATTTCTCATTTAAAACCATATATTTTGAGTTCTGACCTAGCAGCTTATTTTATATTAGTGACAGTTCCAAGGCTGAATTTCTTTCAAAATAGAACCTCATCCACCCACGTCCTGAAAAACCAGTTTTGAGATCTCTTTCTGCTATGAATAGGTGAATGGTTTCTGTCTTACATCCATGTGTTCTCTACTCCAACCTTGCCTGTTCTAACCTTGTCTCGTGTCTCTTTTATGTACATATAGAGGGTATTTCTATTCTTTGTGAGGGTTTTTATCAATTCTGTGGCCTAAATCATATAGTGAAATATGCATCTAAACAGTCGTCATTATTTCTAAAAGTTTAGAAGTGTATTATATCACTATTGATCTGATCTGAGATTCAAGGAAAAAAATCATTCTAGGAGTGTTTTTTTCATCTTTTTTTAATGTCTATGAAGTGCTTCATAAACTACTACACGTAGTTTTTTTTTTTTTTTTTTCATGTAGCCTACAGGAAAATGACAAATAGACTAAGTAGTGACCAAATAAAGAAAAATCATTCCACTTGTGATTTTGAAGTATATAAATGACATCCAAGTGTTTATTTGTTAAGCTCTGAGTAAACACTTGGTGCTGTGCTGAGCTAACCACAGCATTACTCTTTCTATTTCATGTCCTGATCTCCAGTTTTGAAAAGGGGCAGTTGATACTGGTGACAATTTTGGGGGCATGAAAGTGCAACATTTGTGCAAGATCTGCAGCTGACAGACTGGACCCCTGAGACTATTTAGGAGAGGTTTACTTTTCCACTGATATCTTTGACCAAATAGCAAGCCTGGAAATACGAAGGATGGCACAGCTTTGACTGCAATAAGCAGGTTCTAGTCGTAAAGGTGATTTGAAAAATAGCCTTTACTTGCAATGAAGAAGTGAAGCCATGTCTAGAAATCCAATGCTTATTTGAACTGAGGTAGCTAGATCTGACAGCCCAACCACAGCATTTCTGATAAGGTGCTGATAGATCTTCATTTGAAGGGAGAAATGCTGGCTGTACGGAAGTAAAATCAAAACTGCTATTAAATTCCGACACGAGCAGGATTTCAGCTCACACACATATAGATGTCTATTTAGAAGAACCGTTGTCATAAGAAGGGGTAAAAATCATAAGTTATTATATCTCCCTAATGTTTGATTTGTAATGCTTGGAGATCTTGATCCTTTTTCAGGCCAAAGTGACCTTAGTCATTTGCTTACTCACACATCTAGGTCTTATTGTTTTTCAGGGAAATGATGCAGAAAATAACATAGTTTCCTGACCTGACATAAAAGTTGTTAACTGAAGGCAAGGAAATACTGTCATTCGTTTTGAAACTGTGAATAAGTAGGATCAAATGTTCTTTTTGTTTAAAATGTCATATCATCCACATTCATCTCATACGAATGAAAGACAAGCTATGTATGACAGAATTAATGTTAACAGTTCCAATGAACAAAAAGAAACAAAACAAAGTAAAGACAAGGTAACCTTAGTTTTGTTCTCTCATCAAGAAATAAAGTCATTCTATTGAAAAATTTCTCTTGGACTGCAGTTAAAGAAAGTAAATAGTTTAGAACAGAAAGGATGTGGAACATTAATTTCCTAACCACTTATCAGATTTCTAATGCCATAATTCTAAAATTTTGAGTACTGATTAGTCACAAGATACTGAATGTTCAACTTACATTAGATAGAATAGTGATTCAAGAAAGTGAAATTTGGATGAAAAGTTCCATATTTGAGCCAGAGTAAGAACTAATGATCTGTTTGCTTTCTTCTTCATATAGCACATATTCTGCATTTTTGAAAAGCTGGAACTTTAAGAACATAGTAGGTGTAGAAAACAATAGCCAGCTTTAACTATGGCTCTATAGACCCATGTAGAAGAAACCTGTTTGTTCCAGATGGCACCTTATGTGAAAATACCAGACTTCATTGTTTCTATACTCGCTTGGTTGTTTTAACAACGTAGCACAAGAAGCATGAAGACAGGAAGTTTTTTAGTCAAATTTTAAAATCTATCTATTTTCATCTATACACATTTTTTTATCATCCAGGAAATGAATAATAGTACGAAGTTCACTATTCATGTGAATAACTGCACTATGAAGACAAATTACTTGACTTTTAGGGAGAAACGGGTGTACCTCACTCTGCACTTTGAAATTCAGTATATTGAATTCTTTATTATACAATGTGATGATATGCAGTACCTTTAAGTTGGAGAAAGAAATATTGTCTGTTAAAGGCAAAATACATATAATCTGAATATTTATATGTAAGATCTTAATCACTGTCATAGCTAGAAGCTGAAGAACAAAGACTTCTTTCTTGGTTGCAACTAGTTCAGTCTGATGTGGAAAATATGATCCTTACAGGGAATGTTTGTATTATTCTTATGTATTTTTTTTTTAAATAAAGCAATGCATACATGTAAAACCTAATTATGTAGAAAGTCATAGCCAAGAAGAGATCAAGGAAGGTAAGAGGACTCTGTGTTGGAAGAATAGGTGCGTTCAGACTAGTTTAAAACTAGAAGCTCTAGCTTCGAGAATTTATGGCAGCCTGAGATCGTCTGCTATCAGTCCTGGTAGGATGTAGAAAGGAGATGTAGAAGTAGCTATTTATTATAAAAGCAGAAACAAAGACATCTGCTGGTTTATGAGTGACTTGCTACCAGCTGGAAGAGGCATTTGACTTTCTCTGAGGTCATTTGAAGTTTTTTTCTGAATTTCTTTGGGATTGTATTTAGATTTTCCTAAAAATGTATGCGTGTCGCTGAGGTCTGAGTCCAGGGCTGGCATGATTTAGAACTCTCTGGGAACTGCTCATTGGACTGGCTGGGGCAGTTTTCATTTTCTGTTAAAGTTTCCTGACGCTGTTTTTAAATTTAAATTACACTGGAACTGCATTCCTGTTTGTTTTTGTTTTGCATTCCAGCTGAGCTGTTTTGCTCCAGTGGTTGAGATCGTACTAAGAATGCTGCACACAATTTACTACTTTACTATAGAAGACTATAACTTCCCCTTCTCACAATTTTATTTTCAAAGTTAAAAACATTTTCTTGACACCTCCTAAATTATGGTCTGAAGATAAACAGCTCACTGGACCGTCTGAATTACATAATGGTTGCAGATCTTTATGAGATGAGATTTTAAACTAAAGTGATCCTCAAAATCTTCTGTCCCCTTCTTCTTCCACAAACACAGATACACAGGCACACACACACTCGCTTCACAATAGTCCAAGAAAAAATGCCTTGAGGAGTTGTATCTTGACTGTTTAGATGTGATTCTTTTCATTTCTAAGATCTTGAAATTTAAATCTTACTCTGGTAATTCTTAATTATCTGTGCTGGAGATTAAAGTAGGATTTTTTTTTTAAATTTGCATTTCAAATTTTAATGCATTAATCTTTGATACGTAATTTGAAAGTACAATAGTAAGAAATAGACCTTTAGGACAACATGACAGCATTCTCTAAGACTAAAATGCATGAGTTTAAAAAAGTATGCCGATTGTAAAAGGGAGTACAGCTGTTTCTTATATTCATTTATGCATACCACCTTTAGGCTTAGAGACTTGGTAGTAGTTTATTCTGGATGCTGTACATATATGCAACAGAAAAATTGGTTTTGCCCTAAAAAACTTTTAAAAAAAAATGCAACAAGAAAACATATCATTTCAATTAACTGATGGAGGATGATAGAAACACTTTTGTTCTGGACTGGTTTTAATTCTCCGCTGGACTTTCTCTTGTCATGTGTGGACAAGAAGTGCTTTAAAAATTTCAAGTTCCTTCCATGCAAATTACTGTTTTTCTCCAGATGAAGAAGTGCCAGTGCTCACTGCTTTTGAAACACGGAAATGTCAAGTTTCCTATTATCCAGGGACTGAGTGAAATGAAGAGCAACATCCGATATTCAGCTGTTACTAAGCTGAAAATATAAATAAATCAGAGCCCTATCTGTCATCTTGTTTCTCAGGTGACTGTGCCAGTTCAGGAAAATATGTAGCCAGACTAGTTACTATTTAAAACTGACTGCTTGATAACCTATCTGAATATTTTCTAGGAAAATAAGTTAGTATCTGCTTAAAAGGGTACGTCAGTATTTTTGAAAGATATTTTGTAACATATTGCAAAATAAGTACGGCTCATATTTTTATTGAGTGGGAACCACATTCAGCAGTCACACGTTTTCTACACGTACGGTGCCAATGAGAGCTTGGTACCTACAAATAATGCTAAAAGGAAGGAATTTTGGTTAGTGCCTTTGAAACAACATGCCAGAACTTTATACTTTTATAAACATCTGGAATTTCGCAACTGCATAAGAAATACGCAGGCTTTTGGAGTGAGATATTATTTTTGTCTTTATATCTTCACTTTATAAAAATACTTGTACTTGTTTACATTCATATTTTGCTTTCCTACTTTCTTTTCTTATTTCTCAATTATCATAAGCTCTTTTACCAAATGGTTTAGCAGTAAAGACATAAAAAAAGAAAGATCTGCTGTAAGTGCAATTTATCATGGCAAATAAAAGTTTCCAATATGCTTTATTATCAGAGTTGCTTTTAGTACTTTTGCCAACCTTGGGCCAAAAGTCAACATTTTCCCCTTCCATCAATAAAGAAACAGCTGCAGAGTCCAATCTCTCACTCCATTCTGTTAGGTGAGTGAGCAGTACACTCTTGATTTCTGTAAGAAAACAGGGTAACTGTGTCACCCAGAAAACCAGCAACGTTTCTGATTTTTAACAAAAGCTGTCACAAAAGTTGTTTTCTCTGGCTTTTGTAAATTTTAGCAGCCTGACCAGCGGAGCTGGTTGGGAGCATTCCAGCTTGGGATTGTTTTCTTGGAAAATGCTGCTTTTCAGAAAGGAATACCTTTGTTAAATAGAGTCAGTTTTGTCAATGCTCTTAAGTCAAAGTTAAGATTGCTTTTTTTTTTTTTTTGAAGGGGGAAATTTTTTGTCATTAAAATGTCATTATGTTCTGCTTGATGCTTTCCATATGAAAGTTCATAGATGAACGTTCCTTAATCAAAATCCAATGTTTCAAAACATAACATGAAATCATTTGAGTGCCTCAAGGCCCAAACATTTTTTTCAAATCAGCTGTTTCAGAGGCTCATTCTTTAACCTTATTTGAAATGAGAAAAATACATCAATGACTTGAAAAATGTTACAAGGCAGAAAGGAAACACTTTGTACAGCTCTGTTCTGGACCCCTGAGTTAGCTGCAGGCCACTAAAGCCATGAAACGTGTCAGCTAGCTGGGCGAGCCCACGTGTACTTTAGGCACCACACTGAGCCATCACATGATATAACCTTCACATAAACTAATCATCTCATCCAACTCTTCATTGTTATCTTTTCCTGTGAGGGCTCTAACCACCCCTCATATTCTCAGGGAAGGAGCTCCACACAGAAGTGAGAGAAGGCATGATGGACACGGATGCAGGGCAGGCTATCTACAGAAACGCTTTGTTTCTGCTTCAGTTCAAAGAGGTCTAAGTAATTCCACTATATCTTACTAAACTTGTGCAAGTAATGAACTTAAACTGTCTTCCTGGTTGACTCTTAATCGGTAATTGTCTTTTTTTTTTTTTTCAATATTTTCTTTTAGATCTCGCAGAAAGACACCTCACTGGACAAAATGTCAGCTTTCAGCATACGAAAACAGCCTCCTAAACAAAATGGTAATGCTGATTCTCCTTCTTTTTCTACTCTCGGGACATTTAGAGCAGAAGTTGAAGCAACGCATCCTTCCTTTCCCAGGAACCATTTCCAAGCGTCGCCGTGCCCGTTACACGCTTACCTCCCAGAGCAAGCTGCCGTGCTTCAGCAGTGACACACTAGTATACTTGATTCAGCGGCAGGACCTGCTCTGGAGGCAAAGGTGTAAGGTTGTGTAAGGTTTTACGAGCGGAGACTCTGGCTGAACAGCAGCGCCCAGCAGCGCAGTGAGGCAGAGCAGGGGAGCAAAGCCTTGTGGCACAAAATGGCCCTTCAGCAGGCTGAGGCCTGTGGTTGCCATGGCAACGCCCCAGCAGCATGGCGGCCGGCTCTCCAAGGCAGCGGGCAAAGGGGTGGCGGGCAGGGAGGGGTGCGTCACCTACGGCACTGTCCCTTTGGCTCACTCACCCGCACAGGGGAAACAGGGAGAGAAACTGAGGGAAAAGAGCTTGGGAAGAGGACAATGAAGGGGGTGGGGAGGAGGAAGTGCTATTGAACCAGTATCAGGTGGGAGAGTTTGTTGCTGGAGAAGAACAAAACTTCAGGAGGGCCAGAGTTTGATTTCTACACGGGGGAAATGCCCAGATGCAAGCTGGAAATCCCACGAGATTTTCCGTTCTTCTGGATCCTACAAAATACCTTTGAAGACGACAAGATGTGACGTGCACGAGGGCCTGGTTTTGGTCGGACACGCCAGGCCCAAGTCCACAAAACCGGGTGCCAGGGGCGCGTCCGGGGCTGAGCCTGGCAGGCGCAGCGCGAAAGGCGCCGAGCCCAACGTTGCAGAGTCACACCTAACGCCTCTGTTTTCAGCCGAATTGGAAAGATTCAGGTGAAAATAATGAGGAACTGGTAAATGCCAAAGCGGGTAGAAACAGCAGTACTGCAAACGGGGCCTTGTTAAGGACGTACACTCTTTATTGTCCGAATAAGAAGGGGATAAACTCCATCTATCTGTGCTCGTCTGACCTATCATATCTATATTTAATTTTTTGATTAGGCTCGGGAGGTATATGATTTGGCCAGAAACTAGTACAGTTCAGCAAAACTTAGGCTTCCTAACTTAGCAAATTACTTGTGTTGTTTCTTGGAAAGAAAATACAATATACAATACTTGGCCGCTGCCTTTATAGGTGACTTGCTGGGAAGTTGTTTACTTTAATGAATCCATGATTTCTATGAAATCCAGATGATTTTTAGGTAGGCGACAACATTTTTCCTAAAATGCCATTGGAAAATAAATCAATGTGCCATATACAATGTTAATTTTAATAGCTGAGCGCTTCTTGGATATATTGATGTGCTTTTCTACATGTCATTGAGGAATTCTTTTTTTCAGCATATGCAGGAGATTATGACTGACAGCAGAGCATAGGTTTAAATTTGTTGCAGAGAGTTGAAAGCATCTTTGGCGAAAACTATTAGTATGAAAGGAATGCTGGAATAATATCCCCCCCTTCAGTTACTGCCAATTATCCTTGCTGAAGAGTTTTATCTCTGGAATGCATATATTTGAACTCATGTTTTTTCCTACTTTTGAAAACTAACAATTTTTTTATTTTTTCAATGCATGTGATTGCGCTCAATTAAAAATATTTAAACATTTAAAAGAATGGGAAGCAGCAATTCTTGGTATTGCACCTTCATTCACAACCTTTGATTTTTGAGTGATGCATTTTTTTTTTTTTCTGTTTGTCTGGGTCCCTATGGCATTCCAGTCATGGCTAGTATTATCAATATATTCAAAACTGTAAATATTTAGAGGAAATGCACTTAATATAATTTGCTAATTATAACTATCTCCTTTCTTGACAGTCACTATGAGATAGTACCATTGTCTAAACTGATGCAGTTCCTTCCTATCTGCTGTTTGCAAGAAATAAAGTGGATATTTTAATAGTGCTAGCAATGAACCATTGGAACTATGCAGATTAAGGCTGTGATATCTCCATTATCTGAAGTCTCTAGGTCAGTTTTTAATAAATGATTTAGAAGAAAAAACCATAGCTTAAGCAGAAGTGAACAGACTGATGCAGAAATCATGCAATAAGGATGACTTTCTGCCTTTAATTGAAGCTGATTGTCAGTGCGTTCTTACAAATGTCATCTTTGATGTGCCTGTTCACTTCTGAATGGCCTCAAAGAACCACGTTTATGTGGCTGAAAGAGAGAAAGCCAAAGCTATCAGACCTTGGCATGAGGGCTAAGAGACAGCAAAGCGTACGTTGTCACATCCATGCCTCCTAAATGCTTGTGCCCTCTACAGCAGCTTAATCTTGGAGAGAAGTAGTCCAAGACAGAGCCAGATGATGAGTTTGCAGCTAAGCAAATATGGATTGATGTGGATGTTCAGTGTTTGAATTCACCCATTGGCCTCCACATTTGGCAGTATGGACATATCCACAGGGAACTGCAACAGATGAGAGTAGGCACAATATGGCTTACAGTTAGGTATAGGTATTTTTAGACTGAATTTTATCTTTGTATTCTAGTGTTTTGTTTTTTTGGTTATTTTTTCACGAGAGAAAAAATATTTGAAAGATCAGTCTTAGCTATTCTTACTTAAAATAAATGTTTCATTGCTTTGTCATGATTAGGTCTTCCATTGACTTTAGTTATTTGTCGTTTTTCATGGTTATCACTGCAGCTGAAGTACTTGAGGTAAAAGCAGGAGCTTTGTTTTCTTATAAATCAGAACAGAATGTCAAAATATAGCTCCAACAAACGATGCAATACTAACTGCATGCATTTTCTTTGAAGTACGGTCTTTCTGTATACAAGCTATACAATGAAATGTCCTAACGTCATTGTCTCCTGAAATGCAGCAGTGTTGAACTCCTTTTCCTGGATGCTCAGAGAGAGAGTACTTTATGGAGAAAATCACAAAGGTCTCTAAAGCAAAACCTGAAAAACTCAGCATGCTTCAGCAGTCAGTTTTTTGATTAATTGGATGATATTGATAAAGGTTTTGTATATTTAATTTTTCACCTTACCTTGTCTTGGAAAGGTCAGTGCGAGTATCACAGCTCAAAAACTGAGTTTCTATTAGGGCTCAACTTCTAGAATCCCATTTTAAAGGGAGATATTATCATGGCGCGAAAATATCCCCTTCTCTCTCCGAAAAAACAGGCTAATGGTAAGAAATTTTGAGAAACTTGAGAATTGATACATGCTGGGCAGCATGTGGGTGGAGGATCGTGTGATCATCTCAAGATCAGCTTCCACTTTAAATTTTGTTAGACACCTGAAAATGCAACAATCACAGGCAAACCCCTAGGAAAGAGGGATTCATTAGTTCTTCTTTCCGGGAATTTCTCTTGTGTGTGTATTTCATAATTCCTTTATCAAATCTCTGATATTTGTTTATATTAAAGAATAGGCCAAGCTATTTCATGTTAGGAATGAAACTGAACTCATTTTGGTAAACTGGGCTTCTTCAGTCTCTTCAAGGTTTATGGGAATAAGCCGCAAACATTGCAAGGAAATAGTCTGCACTAAACATGAGCTTCAGACATAATCCAGTGACCTTTTTTTTTGATGTTAAAAAAGTGTTGTGCCTGTGTCTGATAGCTGAATATTTAATCCGTGGTAGACTTCTACACATTTGAGCCTTTCTGATAGAACTTTAAGTTTCCCAAGCTATCTCGTACTTCCATTTTCAAGACACATTTCTCTGCGTTTGTAGATAATAAGAGCCCCTCTGTTGCAATTAAAAGCAGACAACAGGTTATTCAGGATATTAACAAACGGCGGACCCTTTTGCAAGATAACAGCTGGATAAAGAAGAGATCTGAAGAGGAAAGGTAGGAAAGATACGACGTACATGCCTTCATTCTTTAGTTTAATATGCATGTATATTTTATTTGAGGGTCTGCTTATTTATGGCTCATCTCTTATCACCTAGTATTACATAATTTTCATCAAATAAGTGTTATTTGCTCACCTTGATGAGGTATTGATTGGCTGTGCAAGTCTTAGTTTGGTTTTAACTGACTGCCTTTTAATGGAATTTTTGTGCATTGAGCATTTGATTAGATGTACTGAGAATCTCTGGCTTCTTCTCAGCTTGAGAAATTGCACATTTCATGCATTTAGGTTACAATAATACCATCTGACTTTTTTTACAGGCATGAACATTATAAAAGTTGACACATTCCTTTAAGGAACTTAATGATGTCAGAATCATTTGTAATTTACTGTAACGCAGACTTAGACTTGTATTACAGTAGCATCTCCACCTTGAGAGCAGGTCCTAATTATCTGGACCATGAACAGTGTATAGGAAGAGATAATTCTTACTCCAAAGTGACGGGAGTGATCTAATGCAGGGATCTTCAGTTGGCGTGGTTAGTGAGGTGACAGACAGCTGTGAAGTCTGATTGAGAGCAGAGATCTTTTGCCAAGAAAGAGTTTTCTATTTTTAATTTTCAAATTTTAACTGAACAGTGTCTTTCTTTTGATTATAGTGCTGATGAAAACTATGGAAGGGCTGTGCTTAACCAATATAAATCCCAAGATAGCCTACACAGGTACAGTAGAGTGTCTGAACAGCTTTCTTTGGCAAGAAAGGTATTAGAAAGAATTAGAAAGTTGAACATCCTTTTACTAAATCCTGTTTAAAGCAAGAGCTCTCTTTATTCTATTTTAGCCTAGTCGTATTACCATGTTAATCAGACTTTGATATCAATAATTGTTAAGCTGGTGATTGCAATGGGTGTGGGACTGGATCTGCTAACACCTGAATGGTCTGAAATCCTGTATGATATCGTAATTCAAGATTTATACATTGTTTTATTGGTGGTGAGCTGTTTAATAAAAACAGTGACCAAAGTGGCATTTCTAACCCTTTTTACAGCAGTAGCATAAATGAAAAGGAAGATCAGAAAGCCCTACTTGGACGATATAGATCTGATACTACCTTGGACAGGTAGGGCTTTTTTCCTTCTATATTATATTTTGTGATTGTCATACTTGTGATAGGTTGTTTTTGTCTTGTCTTAAAAATGAAAATATGAATGAAAGCAGCTTATAAATTAATTGTTATGCTTATTTTTTAAGCATCTAAATAGCAAGACTTTGAATGTTTTATGCATGAATTGTCAATGACGTTAATGTAAATGTGATTTGAGAAGTGGTTCTTCAGACATCTTTCTCTTCATTCTCTGTATCAATCTCTTTGTATTCTTGTGTTCATAAATGTAAATATCTTTCTGCAGATAACCCACCCACTCATTTCCTCTTTTACAACTATAAATCAAAGTCCTATCTGCAATAGTTAATCTCAATATGGCTACAACCTTCGTTCTCCTTTGCAAATCCTTACTACCACTTTGTATCACGATTGCTACAAATATCAGAACTGTATACTTATCATACAGGTGCTTAAACTGGAAGTCCTCTTCAGCTTAGACCTCTGTAGAGTAGTTTACTTCAGATACGACTGTGCCTAAGTTTGCAGATTCTTTGTGCATAGCATCTTCAAAATTCAGCCCACATCAGCATCTGGTATCCACAACGTTCTGAGGCTATGAATACCAGAATTTATACTGTCTGGAAAAAGTGTATTTGTTTGTTCAGATATGATGATTCTTACTTCTTGTATGGTAATAAACAATGAAAGATTTTTACTTAAATTTTACCTTCTGCATACAGCTCTGGAATGGAATAGATTGTAGAACTGTGTGGTATCGCCTCTCTGTTGACTCTTCTCCAAGCTGATGAACCTGCTCTATGTGTTCACTCATCACAAGGAAGCCATTTTAGTACCTTTTATTTACCAATTGCTCTTCTCCCTTTCTTTTCTGTTCCCATAACAATCTTTTTGATCTGAGGGGACCAAATCTGTATACAAATATTTTAGATGTGAGCACACCTTGTATATGTACCATAGCATAACAATGGCTTCAGGTTCATTCTTTATTCCTCCCCTCATACTTCATAATATTGACTTTGCTCTTTTGAGTGCTGCTGAAAATTGAGCTGTCATTTTCATGACATTATCTATTACAACTCCAAGACCTCTTTCCTCAGGGATGATATCTAGTTCAGAGACCAATTGTTTTTCTTGGCAAGCATTACTTTGCATCTTGGAAAAGTGAATGTCGTCTGCCATTTTAGAAGTCTGACATTTTAGCAGATGATTTCTGAAAGCCTTGCCAATCAGCATTTGTTTTGACTACCATGAGTAGTGTCATTGGCAAGCAATATCTTTTCACTCTCCTCCTTTTTCTAGAAAATTCATGAACATATGGAAAAGCACAAGTCTTGCACATATCCCTCCTTTCAATCTGAAAAATTGTCATTTATTCCAAACCTTTACTTCCCACCTTTTAAACAGTTATTTTTGTCTGAAAGGACTTTCTCTGTTATGACATAGCGGATCAATTTCTTTAAGAGCTTTTAAAGAGGAAATTTCTACAAAGTTCTCTAGAAATCCAGGTAGAATATGGATCAATTATGTTGCTGTTATCCACACACTCATTGACTTCAAAAAAGTTTTTTAAGGATTGAATTTTCTGCATAGAAGCCCTGACTTCTGTGTCAGAAGTCATAGAATTCCACTTCCTATGGTGTTACTGAAGAGCATTGTCCCTTTTAGATATATATATATCTGCATCTACCTATGAATTTTTGTTTCAGATTGGCATATTAAGATGTCTGAATTATGTTAGGTTGTAAGCTGAATATCTTTGTGTGCTAGTGTATATGAATATCTAACATAAAAGGTTCTTAATATACACCAGATATGGAAAAATATACAAAGAAAGGATTCTATGTATGAATATACATTTCTGATAGCTAATGCAGAATATGCCCATAAATGGTGTAAATAATCATGATTTGATCTTAAAATGATTAAAATGAGGAAGTTGCAGTCAAGTTGTTTGTTTTTCTTCATTCACCACTGGTCTTCTCAAAACTGTAGGATGTAGCCATTCCAGGATTAATTTGTGCACACTCATTGCCATAAGGCACATTTACAAGGGTGGATCACGTGTTCTGCATCTCCCCAGACTTGCAAACTAAGGCATAAAAGGTTGTGGTGATTCATTTTACGCCAGCACGTTTTCATAGCCTTCATTCAAATTTGGTACTTTCTGTTCCTCAGTGAAGGAAGGCTCTCCACCACATACAATTCCTTTGTTTTCTTGCAGATGATTTCTGGTAAGCATAAGCATAGTATACGAGTCTCCTGGCTTGGAATTTTGGGCTTCTTGCAGAACAGCTATATTGTTTGGTTGTTTATATGAAAAAGAAACATTTCAGGTTCTTCCTGTTCAAACCTAAAAGGCAGAGCTGAAAAATGCAACACTATTTCTTTGAATGTACCACAAAATCTAAAGGACTATTTCTCCTTGAGAAGAGTCATACTGGAGATCTGAGCTATTTACAGAAAGTTGTTATAAATCATGTTGTTTATAAGGAGAATAATTTTCATCTAGCTAAGATGTTATGGCAAATGGTGATGGTAATTTGCTTCTATCCTGTAAAAGGCCTGTAGGAGTTGCTGCATTTCAAGCCAGAGATTGGAACATCTTTACACATTTCTACTTTGCATCCATCCCTTGTGGCTATAACTGTAATTTTCCAAAAGATAAGGACTTTAAGAATCTGGATCTATTTGGATTAAAGTATCTTCAGTAGCCAGTTTTCAAATTGGCAAAATACTCATTGAAGTTCTAATAAAAAAAAAAAAAGGTGAAATAAATTGTTTGAGGAGTACGGGAGTAATTTTGAATTCCTCATTGCATATGGCCTTTGACAGCAAAAGCTCCTCTACAAGCTATTTTAAATACTGCTGTTACAGCTTCTTGCTTCCTGGCTACTGCCGTTTCTATGTTCAAAGAAGGTAGTTTGATATGAATTGTGCTTAACCCTATATATCTACAAAATTTGAACGTCAGTTTCAATATTAAGGATTTAGGAGAGATGCTGGGAGTGACAACATCCATTTGCATCATTGGCTGCAAGCACAAGGAAGTACAAGCATAGTTTTCCCATCTAAAGAGACAAAGTTTCTTCACATTGGCAAAGAGAATGATATAGGGAAAATGAATAAAGAAGGAATTAATATTTACTGTTTATTTCACTGTAAGAATGAAGAAACACTCAAAGAAATTGTTAGGTAGTGATTTAAAGCAAAACAAAACAAAACAAAAGCTTGTTTTTCCCTTAGCGCATGCCTTTCCTTGTAGGACTCAGCGTTGCAGGATGTTGTGGAGGTCAAAAGTTTGAACTGATTCAGCGAAAGGTTAGATGAATTAGTGAAGCATTGGTCGAAAGGTTTCTGTTGGAGACAGTATTTGGGGTGCAAACTCCTCATCAGAAAATTTTTCAAGTATTGATTGTTGGAAGCTGAAAAGTTTTACAAGGAAAAGGTGATATTATATTTACCTTTTTTTCTTCTACTTTTTTCAAAGCATCTGCTACATTGTTCAGCAGTGGAGTAGGATGCCAGATGTACCCTTTAAGTCTTTAAAATGACCAAATTTTGTATTGCTTTAATTATTGCGTGTAAATTTTGAAAATATGGAATGGAGGCAAATGATTCCCTGGATAGCTAACCGATTAGAAGAAATGTTAATGTTTGCTGCTGCAGTAATGTTATCAAGTTTAGTGAGACCTCTAGTGATCTTTTGAGTAACTGCTGGTCACAGTCACAAGTCGCCAGAGATATGAGATAGCTATTTGCACAGGTACATTTAAGATTTGAAAAAAAACACAGAGTACATGCCTGCACACATTATATCATGAAACCCCTTTCCGGGTAGGGTTCCCGTTAAATACGATAGACATCTGTGATACTTGGCTGAAAGCAAAGTACAAAATATTTTGTTTCAGCACTTAATTAGTCCTAGAACTACTAATTGAATATCGTTTTATATCTATAGTTTCAGTTTATAAAAGGGAATAAATAGCTAAAATTAAGTAATTTCTATATTTAAATAAGTTGTAGTTCAAAATGTTTTTCAGCTATTCTAGCTATATATTTAAGATAAACCTCTCAGTTTTATTATCTATCTTAATTTAACAGCAGTTTATAATGGAGCTTTTTGCAGTCCTTCTATTGTTATTAAGGGAAGCCCCATATATGGAATGAAACTCATAGTATTTAAGTGTATAAGCTACGTGTCAGCTATTACAGCTACGTAATGCTTTCTGTAAAATTTTGGAAGGGCTTTAGGAAACAACTATAGAGTCCATAAAGGGTTTGAAAAATCACATAGCTGTTTCTTATTGTAAATCTAATGGCTTAATAATATCAGTTTAAGTGCAAATAATCTAACTTCTTTGATAGAAGTTATTCCTATATGTAACTATTATGCTTTATCAGGACTTTTATACCAGAGTAGTTTCAGATCACATTGATCTCTAAAAGCCATAAAGAAAAACAAACTATTAGAAATCTCAGGGGATGGCAATGGGGAGCGAAGGGGAATGGCTTATTTTCTAAACTTATGGTACTGCTTCACTGAAAGACTTTGCTATCTTTCTAGTGTTCTGATCTAATTCAAAGGTTTTGTAATAAATTAACTGTGACAGCAATAAGGCTTCATATAATATATTTGTCAATTAGTATTTGTACGTAACCTATTAAAACAATTTATTTGAGTGAGCTACTTAGGCTTTTTGAATATTAATACACTGAATGTATATTAATTTGGCCTCTGTTCTCTGTCTATTGTAATGCAGTGTAATTTATAATCTGTACAGAAGATAAAGTGATACTTCATCTTTTGGTTTCATTCAAAGTGATTTTTAAAAAGATCTATAGTGTGTATGAAAAATAATTCCATCTTTTTACAGAATGCCAGCCAGAAGTGATGCTGATAAAATAAATACATTTCCAGCTCTGGATAATAAACAAAGCAATAGGTATGAGTTTTGGAAGCTTTCTTATTATCTAAATATTATGTGTTATCATTATTAGTTACTTTTAATTGTATGCATATTTCAAAATGATGCACGGAAATAAGGTATGTGTTATATGGCTTAACAGTTGCCTCCATTTCACTGTCTGACATCTGGAATGTAGACATCTATGTCTGAGCTGTCATAAGCTCTTTTTGTATTCTATGGGGAGGAAAAAAGGTCTTTTAGATCATCTGATATCTTTCATCATGTTTTCTTCATGTTTCCTTTAGAATAACAGGACTTGTTCTCTAGAAATACGTATTACTCCCATAGACTGAAAGAACAGCCTGGTCAGATTTGCACGGCTAATCATCATAGCAATTATTTAAAATATATAACATTTTAAAAACAGAAAAGAAAGAATAGGCACATGTTTTGAAAACAGTTCAGTGTGGGTGTGTTCTCAGGAAAACCTGGGAACTAAAATGTAAAAATTACTCTTTTTTGATAGGAAGAGGAACTGATTTTTCCAATGGAAAGCAAACAGAAATTATGTAGTTTAATTAAAAGTTTTTCTTTTGTCAGAAGGTCAATTTTTAATGTAAAACAGATTCAAGCCAATTGTCATTTAAAATAAGTTAATTTAGTTTCTAAAGAACTTACAGCTCTTAATTAATTGAGACTTTAATTTAAAAAATGTTATTCCAAAGAATTAGAAGTCAGAAGAGCCCAGCACCATATTTATAAATTTAATGAGACAAATGTATCCTTGTGTGCCTTCATCAGTGTCAGTATAGCGTCAGTAACAAATTGCACTCAATATAGTTGCCAGTGAAGACTGAGAACAACAATTAGCAGTCATCTTGTGAAGTGTTGAGATGTTGCTTTGAAAAGCAAATGAGTGACGCTGGCATTTGACGTGCAAGGGAGGTCTTTTTTTAGTAATAATTTTGCACCATTCTATTGTAAATCATGATGATGATGGCACGTGAGACATCATATAAATTGGATTTTGTGTTGCTTTGTCCAGAGATCATTTTTGAACAGACCTCCTGTGAATTTTGAAGTAGGACTTAAGTGAGACTTAAATGATACATAACTTGTCCTGATAGGAAGCAATAACATAATTGGTAAAGTTCTGTTCTTCAGTTGCATCAGAAATGCGGCGAACAAGACAATAACTTTTTGATAAACTGTATGAGAAAAATAACTAGCTTGGAAGCTATGTAGTTAGGAGTATGAGGAATGGCAGTTCCTTTTACAGGCATATAATAAAATATAATAGTTAAGGTATGAAAAATAAAGATATTAATATTGCAAACTGAAGTGTAGGTATAGAAGTCAAGATCTTCAGAAGTCAAAAATGACTTTAATATCAAGTACGGACGCATCTGTCCTCTAAGCATCAGAATCCCTTAAGTTTTGTGAAACCTGGTATCCTTTGAGGAATTTACCAATTTCATTTGGCATATATAACTATAATAGTACCAATTACTGTACATATTTGTATCATTCTGATAGCAGAAATCTTATTTCTTATTCTTATTTTCCCATTTCTCATGATACACTTATTGAAGATGAATGAATAAATTAAGTTTCTTTCCTTAACAGACAATCTTGGACTCCCACTACATCATCCCCAAACACTGCTGCCACTTCTCCTATCAAAAAAAAAAGGTATTCACTGCCACGTTTACTTGACTGCCAGAGGATATATAGCATTCTGTTGTAACTCAGTAATGTATCATGATTATATCCAAAAACATTATCGCTTTTTTCCTCTGTCAAGCTTTAACTCTTCAGCAAACTTCAGTAAGCTTTTGCATACTCTGAATTTTTTCCATGAGAGCGCTATGGTGCAAACTTATCCTTGTACAGCCAGTCCGTATGCCCTGTGGACATAGTACAATAGAAGTTAATTTTTTGCCACAGCCCCTAACTCAACAAGGGTATGCCTTTTCAGTGTCCAATACCAAAATTAAAGCATTGCAGCTCATTGTAATGGGGACCAATTGAACTCTCTCAGCCTAACTTGATCCTGTGCTGTTTCAGTACAGATGAACCGCAGTATGGTTGTCCGCATGATACACAGCTAGCTTTAAAAAATTGGATTTTATATAGTATTATCTGGACAAGAGAAAGAACTGGCTGTAGAACACAGAACTTAAAAATTAAGTTAAAATGTACTGCTGGGGATAGCCATCTTTTTAATGTAACCTTTCCAGTAGCAACTCCTACATTCTGTCTGTTTGTGATTTTATCTTCCACAGTCCATGCCCAAAAGTTATGATCAGTAGAATTATCAACATAGAAATTAAAATATTGTGATTCTCATATTGATGGCCCTGCTTGTTCTGTGGGAATTTATGGTATTTTCAGCTTAGTAGTTCTTTTCAGGCCCTTTGAAGACGTGAAAGGCCAACACTGAACTGCTCTGTTTGTAGTGCAATTGCTTTTTCCTAACAAACAATTGGTAGACTGATAGTTTTGAGAGAGGGAAAAAAAAAGAGAACTGAAAGTGCTTTTGATGTTTATGTGACCTCTAATACCATCCTGAATTTGTTTCTTGAACTGATATTTGGCACCCTTTCCTTTGTACATTATGTCTGGTTGTCCCTCCCAATAATCATCCACATATTTGTATCGTTCAGGTTGCACAAAGTACCATCTTGGGTCAGACAATATATTTTTCACAATAGTAATTAAAATTACCATGTTGTTTCCAATGCCATTCAGCTGTGTGAAAAAATCCTCTAGAAAGTGTCATTACGCAGTTTTTCAAAATAGTAATAACTTAGGAAATGTTACAAACATTTCCACACCATTTCTGATATTCTAAAATTCGTAGTGTTTGAAGAGGAAGAGATTCAACCTGCTGTCCAGCCCTATAACATTGCATGCTCATACTTAAGAATGTATTTATTTATTGACATTGACAGGCAATCTTGGATGCCTCCACCAGTTTCGAGCTGTAAGACCACCACGGATACAGTGGAAACCAAAGAGTAAGTACTGATGATATCTTGTTTTTTTGGATTTTTTTTTTTGCAATTCTAGGCTTGAGCTGATTTCAGGAGTGAGCATACAAGGCAATTCTTTGAGGAACTGAGTTTGCTGAATAAGATGGTATAGGAAGAGAGAAGATCCCACGTCTAAATACTTGTTGGAGCTTTTAGCAGCTTGATGCCCAGCATTAACTGAGCACATTTGAATATGTGAGGTGCTGGCAGCTTGAGATTTCATCAGTGCCAAAATGAAAGAAGGCAAGGGACAGAACTAAGGTGCTGAACTCCTAATTTTCTATGATACTTGTTAGCTTTCTTCTTGTTTTTGATTTGGACTACTCTAGTAGTAGAAATCCACCAGAAAATCCACTACAGAGTGTTTAACCATAGGTGAACAGAAATCTATTTGGCATGACAGCCAGGAGCTAATTTGGGCTCCTTTTACTTGTCAGTATGGACATAACTTCAAAATCTGCTTAGTTAGTTTTCAGTAAGGTGTCCGAGAAATAGTTTAGAAAAAAAATCTCCAGTTACAATTACTTCCAGATGAATGTTTAATGTTTATCTCTAAAATTGTAATTGCTTATTGGCAGATCAAAGAGGGAATAGACAATAGTTCTTACTCTCATCTAAAAGTAGAATATGAATGGTTTAAAACGTTCATGAATGAACTTTCATGATATTCTTTGCTTAGGTCCCCTACTGGGTGCAGCAAGGCCCTGTGCTTCCCAAGTCTCAATCAGGGCAGCCTCCTACATGAGTCTCATGTATATCATTGATCAAAATTAGACAAAACAAAAAGGAATGGATACATTGTTGTGCTAGGTAGGATTCCCTGGTTGGTCGCGGCCTAGGAAATCTCTGCCACTGAAGGACTTTAAGAAATACAGTAGACCAACATTAGGTAATGTTGATTCCACCTTGAGATAGGCGTTTTGTCTAGATGAGATCCTTTGAGCCCCATTTTCTACATTTTCAAGTTGTATTTTAAGAGGGGTCATACTATATTGCTTCCATGGAACTCTTGCTCCTTCAGTTAGCCCTGCTTTTCTCTCTCCTTTCCATCCTATTTTCCTTTCACTACGCATTCAGGACCAGCCTTTGCTTTTTTGCATTCAGGAGAGAGAGAAACCTTTCTGTCTTCCTCTTTAGCTGGGTACTATTCCAAAAGGAACAAAGCTACTGCTCTCAGTTATGCTTAGCCTCACCTTCTTGAACCGAGGTATGCTTGAGAAAGACTTGTTTTTTGGAGGGCTTAATTGATAAAGTTAAATGCAGAAATTGTAATTTTCAGAGATTACTTTTGTTCAGATTTTCATAGAAACAGCAGAAGTTATACATCTTACACTAGCATTTGACTTCCCGCTCACCAACACTTTATTTCAGGCCTAAATTTCAGAGGTGCTGCAAAATACTGGTAAACATTTTCTTTTCGAGCAAAACTGAGTAGTTTATTCCCTATTTTTGGAAATTCCTAAAATACAATTTCTAATATTAAAAAAAAAAAAAAAAGCTAAAAAAATTCAAAACACCCAGGAGAGAAATACTTCAGCACTGTTAAAGCTTGATGAAGTTGATTGATTGAGCTGAGTCCTTTGGTAAAGGTCTTATAGCAGAGTGTTCCAGGCCACCTTAATTATAGGTTTTTTTGAAAAATTCTAATAGTCTGTTTATTAGTATTAGTTTATGCTTTTACATATATAATTATATATTTGGCTGTTAGTGAATTACTTGTAGATGTCTGAATATATTAACTTACCAAAATACTGCAAAACTGTGGAGCTATCCAATAGTTAAGGCAAGAAAGATAACATCACAGATTGTCTTCAAAACTGGACTGAACTGGGTCATGGAAGGACTATGCTGTCCCCACCCACATGGATCATTCTTTCTCTCTGACATACTCTTGATTTTATAGGTAATCGAAGGAGCAATAACAAAAAGTTTGAAAGCTTTTAAAAATTTCACACAAATTGTAGGCTTGAGTCTTGAAACTAGCTTTTCAAATCTGATTTAAAAAAAAAATCTTTATCATGGCAGTAGCCATCCTGTGCAATTTCAGCTGATTTGGTCTTGGTTTCACCAAGTTATTTGAGGGACAAAGAAATAAGCTTTTACTGTAATTATAATCGTACCCTTCTGCTGACTTCTGCATTTTCATCATTCTTCTTGACATTCCTGGACTTTATTCTAGATACTAAATGCATATGTTTTTTTTCTCGCACAGAGAGATATTTGCAAAGAAATCTCTGTTTTATACAGGCCACCCTGGGTCCCACCAAGTTCAGTGACCACAACTTATTAATTTGAAGTTTACTGTAGAGGCATTTTTCCTATACTCTAGCATACTTTCTCTCCAGCTATTCTACTTACTGCAGAATACAAACATATCCTTGTAATATCTATATGTATAGTATAGTATGTATGTATAGTATGTATATGTATGTATCTATAGTACTTTTATGAGATATATTATTATTAAAGTATTTTCCTATTTGATAAGCTTCCAGATAGAAACACGGATACAGTATTTTTATTACTGTCCATCTGTTTAGTGAAGATTTAGAATGACTCAGCACCCAAGAGAAAGATTGCTCCTGGATACTGGAAGTTTATTTTATTTTAAGTCAGTACTTACTAGATATTTTCTTGTATGTTGACTGTGATGAATTTATCTGGCTTCATTTCAGTATCTCATTAGGGATATGGTAATTTTGAAAGCCTAGGTTGAAGGCTCTGTATGACACCTTCCCGGCTCCCTGCAAGATGCTGGGATTCCTGTGTCATTCTCATCATTAATTACCAAATTACTCCTCTACTCTGAGCATAGGGATGACCAAAATAGGGGCTTTTTTTTTTTTATTAAGCTTTCCTGACCCTTGCATTACTGGGGCATCTATCAACAGTGATGTCACCAAGGGTACTTGGTTAAACAGTGATGAGGTTTTAATGATTAGTTTGTTTATCCTTAAGAAGTCCAGTGCGGATATAAGAGCTATTTGAAGTTTTGAATATTAGTATAACTAATAATAGCCAACAAAGGACACACTTTTATTTGCCTGAAGTGTGTTTCAGGAGATAAAGTGCCAAGTATAGATGCTAATAACCATAGTTTGAAAAGGTCACCATCAGTCTTAAAGACAGCTAAAGCAAAGAGCTATGTCTTTTCCTCACATATAAGAGCAGCTGATTATCCTGAAGTCTTCAGGAAGGGAGTTTTGTGAGCATGGATCATCTACTGAGAAAGATTTTTTTTTTTCCCCCCTCTCGATTTGTTATTTATTTACTTGTTCTGGTTCTGAGGCCTGATTCTAGACTGCTTTATTCAAGCATGACAGGTAAACTTCTGTAGTGCCTTGTCTCAGTGCCCTGCAGATTAAGGACACTTTACAGAACTCTTGAAAGAAATTGCTTTTGAAGCTAAGAATATAAACAGTTCACTCTAGTTGCACTTTTTGGTTGTGAATTGAGTGCTGAAGACCACACATCATTGATCAGAGTTTTTTACTGGACAATGATTAACTGAAGAATGATTGTCTTCGTAACGTATAAGGAATATGATTAGAATTAAACATTATGTTATTTTTGGTTATACAAGTTATGTTCATTTATATCTACGTTAAGCAATAAAGAAAAACTTACAGTCTTGGAAGCAAGGAAAAGAAAAATTAATTGCTACTTTATTGATCTGAAATCTTGGAAAGCGCTTTGATTTTTAGCATTTTGGTACCTTATTTCTGAAATATTTTCTCTTTCTGCAGGACCACTTCTGAAAATTCAGAGGCTCCCACAATGTATGTCTTACGTACTTTGCTTGTTAGTAGCTTTAGAAATACAACACAGCCATGCATAAACCTTAAATATTATTTTACATTTATTTATAATACAAAAAGTGCATAATTTATCTGGGGTTTTTCCTTGAACAGTCCATCTCATAGAAGCACATGAAGGAGACATTCTAGGTTTTAGGTGTAATTAATATCATATAGCTTAACACATATCACTGTATATTTTTACACATTGAAAAAACAACTGTAACTGCTTAACAAATGTAAAAATGTTTCACAATTTTAATTCCATATCTTATTGCTATATAGCATACATCTACTGCAAATATTCCTTTATACGAAACTGGTATTCTAGGGAGGAGACAGTGAATGAAAAAAAGAGTGAGTGACCAAAGGAAGGAGAAAGTGGTAAATTAAAAAGCTGTATATATGTGAAGGCTTGTAATATAAGGCATAAACATGAACTGAATTAATGTAAAGTACTGCTAAACTGATTTGAGTGTCCGTGTGAAAGGTTCCTCTAATTTTAGAAAATAAGTTTATAAACTTAATTAATTTAATATACGTCTCACATGGCCTAAATTAGAAAATGATTGCTTAACCAACCTGCAATTTCATAATTAAGAGAGCTGCAAAACTTGTCATGGTATTATTGCTATCCTAACAGGGAGATTGTCTCGTGGAGCGTATACTCATTTCCAACCGTATTGGCCACCTTCTTCCTTTCTCATGATTTAAAAGTATTCCTGTAGTGACAGAACTGAATGTTCACATGAATAAGCAATGATAGGAAAGTGTTTCAGAGGTTTTTTTTTTACCTGTCTTTTAATATGATGGAAGTTAAGAGCAGGTGTAGAACACTGTGAGCAGCTAGTAATTTGTGGCTCAGTGGGGAAAAAAAAAAAAACCCAAACCATTCTTAAATCTATGGGTTTTGCTGCATTTTTATTATCTTTAACCACTGCTACATAAAAAATGACCTGACCTCTCAAAACCTTCTGCGCATACCTAACTCTGTCTCAATGCGTAGTTGTATTGACTTCAGTGGGAACATTTATAGGAATAAAATAATTCAAAACTGTAAATGTTACATAAGTATATAAATATAACAGAAGAATGTCACTTTGCTACTTATTTATTATAGCTATTATGTCTAAGGGTGGTGCAGTATCATCTTAATATCACAAGTTTTTCCATGAGCAGAGCTAATATTTCCTATTTTTTCAGGATTTATATTCTCCACCTCTTAATTACTTTCTAGAATACCCCAATCCCATCTCCATGTGCTCCCCTGTAGCATGTCTCTATTTCTTCCCTCCTCTCAGATCTTACTCATGTCCTAAGCTTTCACACTTCCACCACTTTCCAATCCCTCACCATAATCCTTAAATAACACTTACAGTATCTTTGGCTCCCTCTCACCTCGCTGAATTACTGCCTGAGCAAGAGGCAGCTTGTATTATGCCTGGATAGAGCAATGGATCTATGTACAGCTCACTGGCTGGCTGGTGAAAACATGCTAATTGGCAAGAAGTTATGCCAGATAGAACATGTAACAGCTGAACTTACGATGAAATTCCAAATTTAAGACTTTCCCCTTTATTGGGCCACTGATTTTCATGGCAGTTGTGGAACCTAATATGCTGAAGGTTTCTAATCCTTTTGCTTGCTGTTAGCCAGTGGATTAAAAATAATAACGGCAGGAGACTAACAAATATATGTCAGAGAGACAAAAGTGTGCACAAATCTCATTTCCTTAGGAAACTAGGACAAAAAAAAACCCTGTTTTTTTTAGCCTGTTCACACAGTATCCTTCGTAAGGGACAATCAGATCCCATCTTTGGAAATTCTTTTATTGCTGAAATCATCTGAAGCAGTAAAGGAACTCCACTTTGTTACTATAACACTACCAGTAAAACAGCCAGTCTTGGAATACCAGCTATTCAAAAAGCTCAGTGGATGCAGTAATCTAGCACAATGAAGCATTATGGAGCTCTTTAGATACACATTTAAAGGGAAAAAAATGTAGGAAAACGTTTCTAAAAAAATTCGAACACATTGTGGTTCCATTTGTAAGAAATAAAATAAAAGCTACAAAGATAACCTATTTAAATGATATCATGTATATCTGTGTATCTTCCTGTGCGTTAAGCATATTTTCATTGTTTTTCTTGCAGGACTGCCTTTTCATCGGAACAGGTGACCCCTCAAAAATCAAAGACTGACATGGTTAATCAAGCTATAGCAAGGTAACATAAGCAGACATAATCAAAATGATGTTACTGTATGCAAAAAATGTGATTTTTAAATACTAGATTTATTTGATTTCCGTGTAGCTTGTATGACAGTATGACACAGTATGAGATAGATGCAGCATTTATCTAGCCCTGCCTGTTGGCCTGGAAGCACAAACTGAGTCATTGGCTTGCTGAGTTATCTCAGATATTTCTTTTTTTTTTTTCTTTCGGTATATCTAGCCTGCATCCTATGAGCAGTATCCAGATACTTTCTGCAAATGAGTGGAAGCAGACTAATAGCAGTAGTAAGGGTTATATACTATATTTTCTTTGTGCTTCAGTTTTCCAGTCAATAAATTGTGGGAAAGGGAGTTATCTACACATTGCTACCTATGTAAAAAGTTCCTTTTGCGCATAGGACTGCAGGAAATAAATAGGAAAAAAACCATGTTTCATGTGACAAAATTAGTGCATTTAAACAGATGGGCTTGTTCTTGTGGTGTGAGTTAGACAGCATATGTAATAATGTACCTTGGAAAGTGTACAGAATTCAGTGAAAGCTACTGGTGGAAAGTGACACAGAAATGATGATTATTGAAGTTCCAGCAAATTGTAAGGTCTTATACTAATGGAAATGGTAAGGTTTTCAAAACAATCTGTAATATCCACGCACCAAATTTGACTTTATGACCCTGAACAGAACAAAATGCCAGAACATGCAATAAAAAAGTGAATGAATTAGAAATAAATAATTCTAGATATGCACTGAGAACTATAGCAGTTCATTTTTACAGTTTTTAATTGGAAATATTAAAAGGTGCAGATATTAAAATCAATTTATATTAGCTAATTTTATTTCACTTGATTCACAAAGTATAACTTTCTGAGGTCTGGAGCCACAGTTTATACCACTTTGAGTGTATTACTTTGAGTCCCTGCCCGCCCCACCCCACCCCCAGTGCCCCCACTACAAAAAATTAGTACAAAATAATAAAGAAAAAAACATCCAAAAGATATCTAACAGTGCAATCCCTTGGAAAGAAGCAATGCTTAAATGGAACTATGGAATGCTTCAAAGTTTCAACATTTTCCTGTCAACAAATCTGAGAGATCTTAGAGAATTACATACGGTAATTTATTAACTAGGGAAGTCACAGCCGTTCTTCACTCATAGAGGCTTATTAAAGTCTTATTTAATCAGTTCACGTTCAGCATCCCCCAGTGGCTCTTATTAGCATATCAAGCTTTGTATACCAGTTTCTCCATTGGTGGAAAGCTATAGAAATGATATCTGACTGGTCTACAAGTTACTATGGTAACGTTACATTACAGTTATCTGTGTCAGTGTGTAAACTCTAAGTAGCCTGTAATGTTAGTGAGCAAAATTCAGTCCCCTACTCTTGCTGATTCCTTTACACTTGGCTCATACCTCAGATGTCATCCATCTGCTACTGAGGTGTCAGTTTCACAGAACTACAAATTTTGCTAAATTTACGCTAACCAAAAATGCATTAAGCAGCTGTCATCAGAAATGACTTTCTTCTGCTAAAGATGCCATATAAATATTATATTTCTGGCAAGAAAGATTGTGTCACACAATGAAAGTTAAGAGCTACATGAAAAATATTTCTAGTAACTGCTGTTTATTAGAACAATATTTTATCTTATGTGAAATCATTTAATTTTAAGTACTTTTACTTAGAATTGAATGATTTTCAAGTAATGCTTTTTAAAGCCATACTTACTTGATTATTTGTCTTGAGTAGGGATATCTACTATTATTTGTCTACTGGTAGGGATGTTAAAGGTATTGTGAATTAATTCCATCATAAAATAAATGGAGAATGGCAACTGGTCCTTTGCCAAAGTGCTCAGTAGTACAAGGAAAATCTTTTGGAAGGGGTTTACCTGAAAAGGATGTCAGGTACTGTTTGTCTTTTGAGTAAAAAAAAAGTAAGTCTCACTGTGCACTGTTCCATGAAAGATCTGCTTCTATTAGTGCAAAAAGCAATTTTTGCATTGTTTTAAATTAGAACACAGTAGATGTGGCATCTATCGTCCATATGCAGAAAAAATATATATCCATATATTCCATAAATCTATATAGAATATACTATGATATAGTTAGCATGCCAAAGGCATAATTAACATATGGACCTCCGCTTTAGATGTGATGGTAAGCAAGAACTTAATATGTTAACAGAAAGGAATCAGCATTTTGCAACTATTTAGAACATTTATAGATACCCCAGAAAAACATAAATAAGAAGTCTAGGAGCTAGTAAAAGTGAGGATAATGACTGTCTAGTGATAGTTGTCATGCGTTACTCAGACCTTAAAAAGTGATCCTCCAATCATGTCTCTTAGTGTCTTGTATATGTGGCAACATATGAACACTTCAATGAACACCTACAAAAACATTTTCCTGATTTGCACTGTGGGTCTTTTAATCATAGCTTGTGAAGTTCTTTTCATGTTTTATTTCCATTTCAGTGGAGATTCAAGGGGAGTATTTCTCACTCTGCATTTTTACATTACAGAACTGTAGCTACTATAATAATTAAGTACAGGTATTTAAAAAACTACATTAAGAACCATGTTCTGTGGGCAGTCTTGTTAAACCATTTCAAACATCCTTAGGGTATTCAACAGAGCTTTAGTCAATCTTTCATTGGTGATTATAGTTAGGAAGCAAAAGTGTGTATTTCCATGCAATGCTTTTAGACAGTGTTCACTTGTATTTGACTATGCTTTTTCTTTGTTCCTTCGTCTAGAGACCATATGCAGTATTTGGCACAGTTGGCCACATTTACCTCTGCAATAGCAAAGTTATTACCACCAAAAGATGCAGAATAGTTAGAAAGTAATATTTACAACAGTTTATAATTTGTAGAATTAATGACTCTGTATTGTATTTTGCATAGCTATATTAGAATTTGTGTTGGAAATATTTGAGAAGCTTTTGAGGTAATAGTAACAAAAGCCACATAAAAAGCTGGAGAGAGATCTTACTCAGCTCTGAAAGCATCTGTAGGGAGACTGTCTGCTACCAGTGAACGACTATAAGTCTGTGGGGGCACAGGACATAATAAAGGAGCATGCTACATAAAGGCAACTGTTTTCCGTTCCAAGTATAGCAGAAAGAGGTTGAATAAAATGCTTCAGGTATCTATTTGTATGTATGTGGATGTAGATAGGCAATTTCTAGGGAATAGAATCAAGGAACTAGAATATTTTTCCAAAATAATTAGATACTATATTTCTTTAGGGGGAAATTGAGAGGTCCAAATTTCAAATCTATGTTTCAAACCACTGTTATCATCATCACTCGTTACTCAAATTCTGCATATGCCCATTTTGATCAGGAGAAAGTGGATTTCCATTATAGAGTTTGGCTGTACCTGCCTGCCCTGCCAGTCATGTCCATATTCACATTATTTAACCTGAGATGGAAAATATAACTTTAAAGCTCTCTCAAGTCACAATGAAATAAGAGACTTGTTGCATGTTGCTTGTTGCCGTTTCATTTTGTGGTCCCTTGAAAGTTTTGTAGTAGAGGTGGTAGCAATCGTGAATAAGGCAATTGTTGGGTTCTGGCAATGATTTGCTCTTACTCAAGACGTGTTTTCAAATGGTGATGGGCCACTTGCATGCAAATGGCACAGGTTCTGGATTGTGCGGTTATGACTGTGTCATCCTATTTCCAGCTCACTCTACACTTGCTCTATGATGTATGTGTTTTCCCTATTAGCGTTTTTCAGTTATACATTTATTTATTTAGTGAATAATGGGTCTCAGGTATGATTTACGAGCAAATGGCATATATATGAATAGTTAAATTTTATTTAGTAGTATATGAGGAAAAGTTTTTGATTATACATGACAAGATTTCTCAGACCTGTTGTAAATGAAAGTCGGGTAGTTATGAGAGATTAATGTTCTTTTTATTTTCAACATGAAAATTTTCAATATGTTTCAGTCTTTCATCATTAGTGCTGACTGTAAAATATCTGCTGCAGTTCTTGGCTCTTTAGAGTTACGAACTATAGAGTTTATATCTGTAACTATAAAGTTACAGTTCCTTGAATATTAGTACTGTAGAGGGTAATTCGCTATAATTACTCCAGTCAGATAATAGCAAATTTATATGATGCTATATATATATTTTTATTATGCTCCTTTTTAATGATATTCCTATTTGAACTGAGATATGTTGCCAGTTTTCATTTTGAAAGATCATTAAAGAACAACAAATTAATTACCTGTGCTTAAAGTACCTCTTGCAACAATGATGTTTTTCTGTGTCTATCAACTTTGAAGAGTGGAATTTAAAAAAAAAAAAAATAAGATGCAGATTTTTCCTTTTTTTTAATGAGTAAATTGGTATCAGCTTGGAACTTTCCAAACCAACGGAATTAAGACCATCTCCTAAACAAACATTTGTTGATTAAAACCTTTGTTGCTCTAGAGCTGCCAAGAGTACACGGTTGAAAGAACATGTAGGCGCATTTTCAGGTATTTGCCAGTTATATGAACTCCCATTAGAAGAAAATGTTTTGCTGAGTGAAGCGAAGGCCCAGCTGATGCTCTTCTGTGGGGACTTTCGAGTTACTATCCTTTGTGGGACATTTTAGTGGAACAACCTTGAAGTTGTATCGCTTATTCCATTGCGATACAAAAGATTGCTGTGCCTGAAGTCCCTTTCCAGGCCCCCTAACTCACAGTACCCCAATTATTCTTGTATGTTTTTCTCTAGGTCGAATAGGCTGGCCGTTGCCAGGCCAGGTGGTAACAGATCCCTGCCAAGTATAGTCCCTGCCTCTGCCTAACAATAGCAGGAAGGGACGCTTCAGATTTGCTTGGCTTTGCTGCTAGTCGGCATTGTGCCTCAGGTCTTTTGTGTCCTTCTGCAGCACTTGAACAGAAATCTCTATTTCTGTGCTTATTCCTCAGTTTCGTGTGTACTGCCTCATCCCTTCAAAACTAGGGAAATTCTGGATTTGGCCTTAGAA